CAGTCCCTGTACTACTACACAGTCTATAATAGTGCCCATATCACATGACTACATTTCTTTGAATTGTATAGTATAGAATCATAATGAACAATATATACAATACTATATAATCATAATGAACAAGTGTTTCATTAGTTGTATGTGTGTGTGTGTGTTCTAGGCCATTGTTTGGGTGTTGAGAGAAGCTCATTGTGTTGGATTGTAATGCTCAGAGATTATTTGGCTAATTTCTCTAACATTTTGTCTAAATTAGAATAAAGAATATCAAAATAGTAATATTAGTAGTAGTATAGGCATAAGCAATAATATGCCAGAGTGAAAGACAATACACTAACATGACATAATATAAACAAACAATAATATACCAGTAATATAACAGTTATAAAAACAAACTGGAGGCGAGGCAGAGAGTGGGACTGAGATTAAACTTTAAAATTTCAAGATGACAAAAATAAACAATGGCAGGGTTTGTTGGTGTTGGCTAGGTTGTGGACATGCAAGCAAGACAGTGTAGCATAACAGTAAACAGGAGGAAGAGAGATAGGAAGATAGTATGAACAAATAATACAAACAATACAATACAATACAGCTCAATATGTGATTAGATTGTACTATATCCAGCTGTATACTAAACTATAGTACTATAGTAGCGCCCTCATTGATTAGATGATTGAGTTTATTGAATGCATAGGACCATTTAAGTATAAAGGTGTGAGTCTACATGTATGTCCCTTACTGATAATTGTTGACTCTAGTAGCCATTATTAACTATTGATTCACCATTAGTATCATTAGTAGAAGAATGAGCCTGATCAGGAAACTGAGATGATGAAATAAGAATGAAAGTCTCCTTATCTCTCCCTTACCCCCATATTGTTAGAGCCTCTATTACCATTCCTCCCCCTAGAATGATAACATTAATCTATTATTATTGTTATTTCAGTTCAACTCACTGAGCGCCATTGGTTTCAGGTTTGCCTTTTACAGCTACAAAATGAAACAAAAATACGAAAACAAAATCTCTCTCTTGACTCTAATTATTTCCTTTGCTTTTACTACCTCTATCATCATTCCTTTTTCTTTTGTACAGGATAACTGCTACTATCACTATCATTATCACTGCTACTAATAGCAATATTGCTACTAGTATACCAACTACTGGTCCAACTATCTGTGAAGAACTGGATTCATTTGGATCACTAGTTCCTTAGAAACAGAAAGGAGAGAGAGAGAAAGAAATTGCTTTGCCATAATAATGAAACACTTTGTACTACTTACCAAGTGTGGGAGTTTCAGTAGCAACAGCTTGAGAAGTAAGAGAAGGTAGAGAAGGTAAAGGTGACGTTGAGAACATAAAGAATACAGTAGAAGACATTGCTGGGGAAGATGTAATAATAATCATAAAAGATATATAAAATAAAAATATCCAATTACCTGATGTCGTCTGTGATGATAGTATGGTAGAAGACATCAAAAGATCAGACTGGCAATTAATAACTGGACCATCATCTAACAAAAGAACAAGTAACAACAATAATAATAAATAATTACAAAATGTTTATTTACCTGAATTACTTGTGATATTAGTATAATCTGTAGTATCAGAACCAAACCTGTTTGATACACTAACAGCTACTGACCACATTAAATCATGAATCATTGATTCAATGTTAACACTGATTGATACAGTCGATCCATCATTATCATCAATTTGTTCGGATGTGATCTCAATCAATGGCGAATTAATCTCTCATTTGTAGTAATCTCTTTGCAACAGCGTGTAAGTATAGTTATTAAACAAGTCGTTATATTCACACGTTAAAGATACCTAGTAATATCAATATTAGAGGAAATATTGAATTTATTTTTACATGTACTTA